TCCAGTGATCCTTACAGAAAAGAAAGCAAATCTACCGTAAGTTGTGGAAGAAAAGGATGTGATATATACACTGGACACAACAAACAGATCTCAGGATGAATCTAGAGTGGGTAGGAACAAACAATCCACAAACACTTTGATTCCTCAATATACTTAGACAAGCACATGCTTGCTATATGTGAGTTAAAACCAAGAACACCAGCCCATTAAACAAGAGACACACATCCTGCTCTTAGGAAAATTATTATCCATTAGTTAAGACGTACAGCTAATAGATACATAAGTGTGCAATGTTAGGGACAAGAAAATGTCAGCAATCTGGTTGAGAAAGGGGTTGTTGTAAGGAAACAGTAAAGGACAAGATCTTGGGAGGTGATGAGATTGGTAGCCTGAGTGAGCACCAGCGAGACTTGTGGAGATCCGAAGAGAAGTTGAGGACAGAGTGGGTGTCAAGGGCCTGCCATCAGTTTATGCTTGGCAGGATTCACTGACAGTGGGAAAGCTGAGTGAGGGGCTGATTCGAGGGCCACACTGTTGGAAAGCTTGCTAAGGTTCAGGATATGTAACATTTGGAAAACATGTATTTCCCCTGATTGAGATGAAAACAACTTGAGCTGATTTTGAGCAAGCAAGCGAAATCTGGTTTTAATTTTAAATGTTGGCGTTTACTGAAAAGTCAAATGCAGAGGGCTAGGATGAAAGCAAGGAATAGGGTTAGCTATGCAGGCCTTGATGGGGTATTGGGATCATGTGGAAATGTTGGAGGGTGCAAGAGGTGCTCATATTTAAGGTCCATTTCAAATACATTGCTGGTGGAATCTTGGTGAATTCAATATGGCTCCCGAACAAAAGAAAAAAAGACAGCCACAATGTACATAATTTTGGGGTGAGTCTCTGGGTAAAATTAGTTCATTTTATCAATTTGAGAAGTCGATTTTGGGAGTATTGAGAATGAAGGGTAGGAGGAATGCCTAGAGTTGCTCCTTGAAATCACCAAGACTTCAGAGGCGATGGCTTTGGTTGAACTCAATGGATGAGCGAGAATTAGCTGAGCCGGTGTGAAGAAATGAGGGAATCAGTTTTTACTTTACCCAGTCACTCAGATCAGCTGTAGCATTTAACTCAGATCTAAGTGACTCTGGCATCTACGTCTTCCTACTGTTCAAGTCCGTGTTTCTACTGACCAAAGTCAGGATGAGAAGCATTGCATGTTGCCCTTGGGATCCTTTAGAACTTTTCGATTTTAAACAAAGTAGGGCAATAAGAGTAGCACACAAGTTCATAAACAAAGGTATCGTGGGTGACATCACCTGCTACTATAAAGTTGTTTCCAGACTGACCTGTAGAGGAAACAGCTCTTCTGCTACACCACTCCACCATTGTGATGTTCATAATAAATGGCCATGCTTGATTATCTTCAAATATGCATGCACATCTTAGTGCACAAATGCATGTGTCTAACAACTATTTTTCTGTGTCTTAGTATGATCTACTTCAGGTCATTTCTTTCTTAACCCCATTGATTAATTGTCTGGAAATGAAATAAAAGTTCTGGGTCACAGTGGGTGTTATCTAATCTTGAATTGTTTGTACCACCTTTTGTTAAATTTGATAATCTACAGTGTTCAAGCAATTCTAAAAAAGCAAATTAAATACATATGTATGTATACACTTTTATGAGTTCTTCTAGTTTGTATTTATCTATTCCTCACATGTTTCAGAACACTTAATACTGACTACTTTGTAGAAGAAACATGATGAATCTGATATATCTTCTATGTTCTAGATACATACAGTTAGAAAGATATTCCACATGCAAGTTCACACACACCCCTGGCTATGTTTGTTTGCACACCTTTGCTCTCTTCTGTAACTGCAGACTGGACATTTGCTCTTATCTGGGCTGGAGTGTTTTTCTCCTGGATGTGCCTGTCCAATTCAATTTTTATGAACTTAGGTTCTGACTACACAGTGTGCTATATAGATTTCTTTTTATAGAAGTTGCTATCTTGTGCTATTTCTAAATTTTCTTTTCTTAATTTTTCTATATTGGGAGTACTGTGGGAACAAAGAATTTTTATTTAACTCTATGTACTCAGGGACTTGCAATACTGTTAACATGTAGTGTTTATGTAAGGGGTGTTTGTTGAGTGACCAAATGAATTCAGTGTTGAAATATGCTACATACCAAGGGAGGGGGAACTTGCATCATTAAATTTTCCTCAGTTAAGGAAATTAGGATAATATGTTGAGAAACAGCATTGAACAGCCATATGACCAAGACTTTTAAACGGTTGTAGATTTGATACCAATTCTGCTTCTAACTTAAAATTCAGATTCTTACAAGGTTAACATAAGAGATTGCTGTTTCTTTCGTTAATCATATATTGGTTTATAAGGGCGAGTGTCCAGCCTGCAGTTACAGAAGAAAACATAAATGTATCAACAGTCGAAGCCAGGGGTGTGTATGAACTTCCATGTGGAATATCTTTTGAATTGTCTGTCTAGAACATAGCAGATGTATCTGATTCATCATGTTTCTTCTGCAAAGCAGTGAATAGTAGGTATGCTGAAGCATTCCAGGAATAGATGAACAAACAAAAAGAGAAATAACAAGCAATGTTCCAATTTAGGTCCTACATGATCTAGTTCTCATACAGTTCCAGTAACTTTAGCACTAAGAGAGTCAGAAAAGGCCCGAGGAAGATTAAAAGAAACATATTCTCTAGAAATACGCAGAAAATAATTCTGTTGATAATCAGAAAGCCTAAATCAAAATGTCAGAAAATAAAGTTCAGAGAGTTTGGTGATTAGTGTTGGAGTCAAACCAGGAGGTAGACACTGCAGAAAACAGGTGTGTTGACTGACTTCTTTTTCACAAGGGAGATATTAAAATAGCCACTAAAGCTGAATGATTTCCTCAACACAGATGGAGGGAAGAGAAGGTGTACAAACTACTTTCTGTAATCTAGAAATGTATGGAATGCTGGGAAACTGAAAAAAGTTCATTAGCTGGAAGTGCAGAGATTTAGAGATTGTTAATACTTCTCTAGGGTTGAATAGGGTTCTAGAAAATGACAAGCCATAGTTTGTGTGCAATACAGAGAGGCTGAGAGTTTACACGGTTGATGTGATTAGCTTTGTAAATACTATATGCGACAATATAAAGAAATGCCTCAGTAGCTAGAGGGGACTCCTTTTGCTTTTCTAGCATGGAAGCTTTCCTGGCATCTTGCCCAATTAATCTTGGTGGAGTGAATGAATAAACACAATTGACCAATGGCTAGGTTAAGGGAATTCTGGACCTGAGAAAAGAGCTAGAATATTTCAGAGATTCAATTGAGAAAAGATGAACAAATGTGAAGAGATAAAGTCAAATTTGGAAAGTAAATTTGGTACGACATCAATAGATTTTGATGATCTTTTGAATGGGAATGGAAATGGTGAAGAAAGACTCTGATAGCTTTACAGTTTCCACACTTCCTTTGTGAACACGGGAAGAAGAAACACAGTGTAAGGACAGGGGAAGAAGATGCATTTACAATGCATACATTTGAGTGTGTGCAGTCCTAAGACCTAAATAAGCATGGGCCAGTAGAAAGTAAGCACCGAGAGACATTCAGTCAGATCTGCCACTTTAGGAGGCAATAGCGTGGTTAGAAGTGTAAACTGTAGCAATGGCCCCACTCAGTTCTAAAACCCCCTGGTTTGTCTGTTTTATCTCCTCCTGTCCTCCTGTTCCCTGTTAGCATTACAATCATTTACTGAGTGCTTGCCTGTGGTATGTGCTCCTGAGTCTTTTATCTACTTAGTAGCATGTTCTTCACTATTATGCAACGAGGCAAGAGATTCTTCCCATAAGAGAGAAAAGTGGACTGAGGGCAGGTGGGGATGGGAACATGAGAGATCAGGTTGGGGGGAGATGGAGGAGGAGTGTACTGAAAGAGACTACTGGAAGGGGTTGGCATTTGGGGGTCAGGTAAAAATCTGGTGCAAGAGAATCTCCCAGAAATCTATAAGGATGACCCCAACTAAGACTCCTAGCAATAGCAGATACATAGCCTGAACTGGCCATCTCCTGTGACCAGATTGGTGCCCAGAACAATTGTCATCAGAGAAGCTTCATCCAACAACTGATGGAAACAGATGCAGACCCACAGCCAAACATTAGGCAGAATTTGAGAAATCCTGCAGAAGAGGAGGAGAAAGGTTTGTAGGGGCCAGAGGGGTCAAGGACACCACAAGGAAACCCACAGAATCAACTAACTTGGGCTCCTAAGGGCTCACAGAGACTGAACTGACAAGGAACCTGCATGGGACTGACCTAGGCACTTGGCATATATGTTACAGTTGTGTGGCTGGTGGCAACAAGGGCTGTCTCTGACTCTTTTACAGGCTATTGGGACCCTACCCCTCCTGCTGGGTTGCCTTGCCCACCTTTAATACTTGGGGAGGTGCTTACTCTTACTGCAACTTGGTATGCCATGTTTTGTTGATACTCATGGGAGACCTGCCCTTTTCCAAACAGAAATAGAGGAGGAGTGGATTGGGAGGTGGGAACAGAGGGTGGATTGGGGTGGAAGAAGGACTGGAGGGGAGGAGGGAGGGGAAACTGCAGCTGGGATGTAAAATAAATAAGTAAATACATTTATTAAGGAAGAGAGAGAGAAGTAACATATTTGTACAGTTGATAACTAACAAAATATCAGAGGCTCTTATCTAGAAATGACAGCAGAGTTGGGATTGGAATACAAGTCTTATTTGATCCATTAACCATGCTCTTTTTAAAAAATAAATTTGTTTATTTATTTTTATAACCCAGCAGCAGTATCTCCTCCCTCCTCTCCTCTCAGACCCTGTCCCCCATCCCCCCTCTGTTCCCACCCCCAAATCCACTCCTCCTCTGTTTCTGTTTAGGAAAGGGCGGGTCTCCCATGAGTATCAACAAACATGGCATGCTCTTTTATTAGGTTCATTGTCTGGGTCTCAAGACCCTTCCTTCAACCAAGACAACACTTGACTTATCATATCTTCAAGTATCTGGTGTCCGTATTTGTCCCCTTTACTAGAAAGGGAGTTCTAATGAACAGGAATTGTTTTTTTTTTTTGTTGTTGTTCTGTTTGTTTTCAGTAAAATTTTGTAATTAAAATGATTTTGTAAGCAAATACTCAGGGCTTGACAGAGAACTGGAACTTGCCAGGTGACTTAGGGTTAAAGCACAGAAAATGGAGACGAGAAAGGAAAAGGAGCTTTGTGCAAGATTAGCTGGTAATCCTCTGTAGTTTGCCACTCGATGCTCATTTTCCCCTCTTTTTTCCTTCTTTCTAATTTTTTGTTCATCTATGAGCCTTCTGTGATTTTTCAAGATCCTTGGATCCTCTCCTTTTTTTCCTACTAGTTGCAGAACATTTCCACTAAAACTTAACATCGCAGACAGCATATGTACATAAGTGGAGGTTTTGCTTGAAGTGCAGTGCTCTCTGAACTCCACTCACTGCTTTCTCTGTCTCACTGTCTCAAAGAATTCCCTGAGTTTGAAAAAGTAGGCTTCTTGATCTTGCCTTCCATTTACAGTTGCTGTTCCTGCTTTGAACAAACCACATGTTTCAGTAACAGCTAGTGAACTATTGGCATTTCATTCCTTCTGGAAAACCTGTTTCTAAATATGTTCCCCATCTCTTTGAAGTAGCTATATTGCCCCCCCCTTGCTTTTCACCTAAGTGTTTTCCACGAATCTTCTAAAATTCAGTTTAAAATTTGCCATCTCCCTGGAGTAGTCACTTATAATTCTAGTTTCCCAGATCATAGACTGTTACTCTTTTCTAGAAAACCTTGCCTGTTTGTGCGTGTGCGTGTGCCTGTATGTATGTATGTGTGTGTGTGTGTGTGTGTGTGTGTGTGTGTTGGAAGCTGTTAACTTATCCACACTACTTTTTGTTTTCAACTTTAACAACTTATAATCATACAAAGTTTCTTTCCTATACATGTAAAAATATTCCACAAACACATATGAAAAACTCAGTGTATTTTTTAACTGGAAGAATGAACAGTTTTTTTTTTTAAAATAAATTGATTGTATTTTATTCATAACTTTAACATTCTGTCATAATCTGTAACTTTCAGCATTTTATTATGCGTTTTTGCTTTCTAGGATATTCTTAAATCAATAGCAAAAGCTTCATATTTCTTCTTCATCTCCTCCTTTCATCATAATCTAATAATTATGCTCTTGGGAACATTAGAGCTGATTGTGAATCTTCGTGATGGACGCTGTAGTTCTACAAAACTCTGAGTTCTGCAAAATCTACTTCCAAAGAGAATCACAAAGCAAATATAAAAGTTTGCCAAATGAGAATAAGTATGACTGGATTCAGTTCATAATTGAAATATTCTTTTCCAAATTAAAAACTCCACTGATGTATATGCCACGTACCTATGGTGATATTTTATTTGTACTGAAATGTGATTTTATTTGTATGTTAATAAATAAAGTTGCTCGGAGGTCAGAGCTATAAGCAAGCCATAGCGAAAGCTGGGCGGCAGTGGTGCATGCCTTTAATCCCAGCATTTGGTAGGCAGAGCTAGGTAGATCTCTGTGTGTTCAAGGATACATTCAACATTGGAGACACACACCTTTAATCTCAATACCAACCATAGAAGACCTGGAGGTCTGTACAGACAGCCAGTGACTAGGAAGTCATGTGGTTGGGTTTACAATCAATGAGAAGGCAGAACAGAAACTCTATAAAAAAAAGGACAGACACAGGAAGTAGGTCTCTTTCAGAGAGGTACAGCAACAGTGAAGGTTAGCTATTGCTCTGACCTCTTGGCTTTCATCTCTGTATTGGCTCTGTGTTTCTTATTTAATAAGACGGTTGGTTACATCTACACATACCAAAGAAACAAAAGCTGAACATAGCCAAAGAGTTTGGAACCCACCCAGCTCCTGTGTTCCTTGCCAAAACCATGCGTGTGTGTGTGTGTGTGTGTGTGTGTGTGTGTGTGTGTGTGTCTCCATGAACCTATCATCCAACTGTGAAGAGACATGGTAAAACAGCCTTGGTGCTACATATTTCTAGATGCCTTGGATAGACAAAGCCAATTGTTTTCTTTGAGATGGCAGTTCCTGAGCACTGTGGAACTGTTCTTATATTTATATGTCATTTCTTTATTATATAAGTGGAACTTGAGGCACTGTTCCTTCTTTTCTTCTATATGATGGTATTTCAGGATGTCCCACAGCTTGTCTGATTATTTCTGTCTCTCAGCCTAGTTCTGGAGTACCAGGGCCAAGTACTCACATTTTCATCTCCCATTCTCCTTTCCCCCAACATACCTCAGCAGGCCTGGTATGAGATAGTGAATTCATGTGGGAAAGGTGTCTGATTTTGCTGTTTCACTGTCTCTGTTCTTTGGCATCTTCTATCCCTATGTGGGTGCTAGCCTACTCAGAGTCAAAGGAAAAAGTGATTGGAGTATGATTCTTTCTCCTTAGTTTTTTCTCAACTTACACTGAGTTCTCTGGCAATCATGTGCACTACATTCTCTGCAACAATAGCTCATTTATGATGAGGGTCAATCTCCATTTCTCTATTAACTGCCTTCTTCTGAAGGGACAATCAAAATAGCACTAAATGTTGTATTTCCCCCTACTATCAGGTTCTGCCTACTTTGTTTCTAAGGGAAATTTTCAGTCACTGGCCCTCTTCTTGCCCTCTCTCCCACAAGCAGCTTACTTTTCAACGCAGGCTCTTTCATCCTAGCTCTTTTGTTCTTACTTCTTATGAGACTGTCCATGACACATTTGAGGTGGCAGGAGGAAAAGCCAGGTCATCTTATCTGATGGCCATCTCCTTAATGAAAATTCTCTCGATGAATCTCTAGACTTTTCTTGTTCTGAGTAAGGAAGAAGTCAGGAAGATGGAGCACATTAGCAACTCCTTGGTAAGTCATTGGATGTCTGTTTAGATCTATCCTCAAATAGTGTAGGAGCAGCCACTCATGGTCTTCAGAGCTAATGATTTTGGTAAAATTTCAAGACAGTAGTAAAGCCCTAATGCAAATCTTATGTAATTATTCCTTTATTTCTCTGAGTTTCTTTAGCCCATAGCACAATTCCAAATACATCAGACCCAATGTAAAAATGAGAGAGCATTTAGTCAAATAAATAGCACATTCCAGGCAAAAGAAAATATTTTCGTCTCAACATAATTAAAATTTTATTGCAAGACAATGGAGCTTTTGTTTTCTTAAGCAATTAATCTAGATAAGCCTTTCCCTAGCCATCATAATTTGTATTCATTGTAAAACATTTCTTTGGGATTATTGTGTGTAACATAATGGCATCATGAGATCTCAAGGCACCATTTCTTTTCTTTTTATTTGACTGGGAACCTGAAGATTTTCCACATATATCTATTTCCACTTTTCCATGTACAGTGTAAAAAGAAATAGTCTGCCATGAAGTAGGATAGATAGACTCTTTGGAGATAAAATAAATGATTCAGAATCTCTCATTCATGTGAACCTAAAAGTCTAGGATCTGGAAAGTATTAATCTGGGCCCTGAATAGATCAAATGGCAAAGTGAAAATATTTATAATAATAGTAGAATTTTCTAAGAATAGTAGTGTGGGGATATGATGCAGATATAGATTATAGGCATGCACACACACACACACACACACACACACACACACACACACACACAAACCAGCTTATATACAGTGGGAGATGTCTATTCCCTACAGAAATGACAAGTGTGATTAAAAGGTAGGCAAAGCTTTTGTGGTTCCCTAGGATTAAATGAATTATTTATGAAACTATTTACACATTATTACGATTTATTATTTTTTACTTAGCAATATATATATTAAGAAATTCAAAGCTAATTTGTGCCTGAGTCAACAAATTCACCATGGAATACTGTCTATAAAAGTTATTTGACCATATCATTAGCTTATTTTCATAAAAATATTTCACAAGTATAGTGACTAGGTCACTAACAGAAAGAAATCTTTTCAATTTTTATTATCATTTAGGGTAAATAATTTTCTTGAATCATGTTTTCTTTTCTATCCTATTATAGTATTTGCAGTTAAAGTCTTAATTGTGTTTGTGAGCAAATAGCAGATTTCACTTGTTAATAATGAGAAGATAGAAATTAGTCAGACAATTTAGGGATGGGGCCTTGATTTGTGTGTTTGGTCAGAATCCAGAAATGTTTTTGGTTAACCCTATGTCTCTTAGATGCTCTAGAAATTCCCCACCCCCAGGACATCTGGGGGTAATTGAAGGGCAGGCAGAAGTTGATGTCTATAATCTTAGGTGGGTGCCTGGGGGTCCTCCCCTTCTTCCTCTGAGATAAATGAATAGTTCTGTCACCATTACCACAGATCTGGCATCAGCGTCTTCTTTCGGCTTACTTTGTTGCCCTGACTACAGGCCCAAGGTGTTCTAGAATCTCTCAATAATTGCTACTCCAAGATGGCTGCTGTTCATGTCAGGCCGGGAGGAAATTGCTTCACTACAACAGATTTTTTCCAGAGCAGGATATGATGAATGACTGTAATAGAGCAGACTAAAAATCACAGAGAGAAAATAAAAATGAATTAATAAAAGGAACTACAACTTTCCAGTAAGAAACAGCTTTTCTTTGTTGTTCTTTGCTATGACAACTAAAACCTGTAGATTCTACTTTCTTCTCTACTGCCTAATTTGTGACAACTTTTGTCTTGTCCTTCATGCTCTAAATCCCAGAGAGAGCCTGTGTTACAGCTCTGAAGGAAAAGGTATCCTGGTAGTCAGAAGCCCAGGAATACCTATAGCTCTGAAGGGAAAGTTATCCCAGTAGAAGTGTTACAGCTCTGTGCCTGTGGCAGCCAGTTTGTCCAGCAAAGTGTTACAGTCCTTGCTCCAGGAAAGATTTCCTTAATGCAAGAATAACAGCTTTATTCCAGCAGTAGAGAGATTCCGCTGTTACAGCTCTGTTTAGCTTCCTGGGAGTGTACCAGTTCTGCTCCAGCAAGGGAAAGTTTCCCCAAAGTGTTACAGTTCTGCTCTGCTCTAGCAAAATTGTTACAGCTCTCTCGGTTCTGCTAAGGAAAAGTTTCCCAGTGGAAGTGTAGCAGTTTTGCTCTGCTCCAGGGAAAGCTCTGCTCTGCTTTGGCAAAAATTGTTACAGCTCTGCTCTGCTTTGCTTTGGTGAAAGAAAGTTGTTACAACAAACCTCACTTCAGAGATTTATTGGGAGGGAGGAATCCAGAAGAGTGGCTGCCTCTGCCAGGGTGGAAAAAGGCAGCCCCAAACTGAACAAGTACAGGGCTTCTACAGGGCTTCTTAGGGGCAGAGCTTCCCAGTGTGAAGATTTTCAGGGTGAGGATCCCATTTCCTGAGCTTGGGACAAGCTCAGAGATGGGTTGAATTTTGGTGCTCAGAGATTGGTTGGATTTTGTGCTCAGGGATTGGTTGGTTTTCATGCTCAGGGATTGGTTAGATTTCAAGGCCTGAGTTGGTTAGGAGCAGGGTGTGCTTCCTTGGTTATGGTCTCAGGATCAGGGTGTTTTTTCACTGGCCCTTTTGGTCCTACAGAGATACTTGTGGTAGCTCCTTCTCTCTTTGCCTAACACCATTTTCCACACATGATACCAGTGTGTTATCAGGGAGAAAGGGGGTGTGGCCTGAAGATGATTTTGAAAAGTGATAGTAAGAAAAGAAAGACAGATCAAGTCTCTGCCCAGCAAACTATTCACAGATAGTTCCAGAGCACAACTATCTTCTGTAGGTGTAGGTCCCTCCAGCAGTCATCACCCCATGAAAAACTTGACTTTCTCATGTTTTCTAACTGAAAGCTACTCTTTTGTGAGGCATATAAGATGGTGTTTTCTTTTTAAGTTTGGACTTGATCAAACTACCCTTATCACTCCTGTCTCCCTGTTTGCATTGGTAGGAGCAGAGTGTGGTAGGATCTTCAGGACCTGGTAACAATATTATCTACCAACATCACTAGTGGAGTTAATTAAGAAATACTTGCTAATGACTATGTTAAACGTTCTTGTAATAGCTGAAATATTTAGGTTCACAGGGTATTATGGTTTAAATTTAAAATGTCTCCTGTAGGCATATATCTAACCCCCTAGTCTGAAGCTAGTAGTTCTGTTTGAGGGAGATTATGTAACCTTAGGAGGTACACCCTTGCTATAGGAAGTATATCACTTGAGGGAAGAGGGGCAAGCTTTGAGGTTTTGTAGCTTCACCACTTTTTCAGTTCACTCTGTGTTTACTGTGTGGTGAATTCTCAGATACCTGCCCCAGCTGACTGCTGCTGTGCCTCCCCCAACATTATGAACATTCTCTCTCTGGATCCATAAGCCCAAATAAATTCTTCAATAAATTGCTTTTAGTCTTGATGTTCTCATTATAGCAACAGGAAATAACTAATGTAGTAGGCAGGTAAACATTCATTTTATTGCAACAATTTTTGATTATGGAAGAGACAATGCAGTTACTTTTAAAGACAGAAAAGGCATTCACTATCAATGTTAGATTATAAACCAGATGTGCATCTGCTTAAAAAGCTAAATTTATTAACTTAATTAATTTTACTTTAAAAGGCTAAAATTTCATTTTAAGTGACAAGTAAAAGTTACATTAACCCTTAAAAAGGACAGGATCACTTAAATGGCTATTGAGAATGGATATGTGCAATTTTTTTTATGTAGACTTTTTTTTTTAATTTTTCTCTCCCACGTTACATCCTGAACAAAATTTCCCTTGCCACCACTCTTTCCATGCCCCACCCCTCAACTTCCCCTTTCCCTGAGATCCTCTCCTTCTCCATTTCCATTCAGAAAAGAGCAGGATTCCCAGAGATATCAGCCAAACGTTGATGTTATTGTTTGTTTTTTACTCTTTGCTCTTTTTTGGAGCCCGCCACACAGTTCCCAAATAAATGACACATGGAGGCTTATTCTTAACTATGAATGTCCAGCCTTAGCTTGGCTTGTTTCTTGTCAGCTTTCCTTAACTTAAATTATCCTCTCTACCTTTTGCCTCTTGGATTTTCCCATTCTCTTACTTCTGTAAACCTTACTCTTACTCCGTGGCTGGCTGTGTAGGTGGGTGACTAGCCCCTGGGTCCTTCTCCTTCTCCGGCTACTTCTTCTTTCCTTTCAGATTTCTCCTTTTATTTATCCCCTCTGCCTGCCAGCCCTGCCTATTTTTTTCTCCTGCCTCACTATTGGCCATTCAGCTCTTTATTAGACCATCAGGTGCTTTAGACAGGCAAAGTAACACAGCTTCACAGAGTTAAACAAATGGAATATAAACAAAAGTAACACACCTTAAAATAATATTCTCCAACTCATGGCAAAGAAGGTTGTAATAAGACTAGGCACAAATGCTCATATCAAGGCTGAGTCAATCCAGCAAGAGAAAATGGGTTCCAAGAGCAAGCAAAAGAGTCTGAGACACCCTCCATTTCCACTGTTAGGAGTCCCAACAAGAATACTAAGCTACATGCCCAGTGGTGGTGGTGCATGCCTTTCATCTCAGCACTCTAGTGGCAGAAGCAGGCAGATCTCTGTGAGTTCAAGGATAGCCTGGTCTACAGGGAGAGTTCCAGGGTAGCCAAGGTTACCCAGAGAATCTCTGTCTCAAAAAAACAAACAAAACAAAAAACCCAAGTAACCAACCAACCAAACAAACAAACAAAACCAAAAACCAAGCTGCACAACCATAATATACATGTGGAAGACTTAGCTCAGATGCATACAGGCTCCATGACTGTCATTTAGTCTTTGTGAGCCCCTTTGAGAAAAAAAAAGCATACCATAAATAGGAAGCGAGACAAAAATTTTAAATAGGATTAGATAATAAGAGTAGAAGAAACTTGGAAAATAATATTATGCCATTTAAAAAATAGTACCTGGAGGGGACCTGGTCAAGTTTGTATTTGAAAAAGAAAGACTTTCTCACAATCCCTGAAGAGAGTACCTGAAAATACATAAACAGAAAACAGAAAAGGAATATATATATAGAAATGGGAGACCAGTGAGATGACTTAGCAGTTAAGGGCACTTGCCAAGTGACCTAATCTGAGTTTGATCCTCAAAGTCCACATACAGAAAGAGGAGAAATGACTCCACAAAGTTGCCCTCTGACCTCCACATGTACCATATGTTGCAGTGTCCATGTGTGTAGTATGCACTCATGTACACAGACAATAATAATAAACAAAAAAAATTGAAAGGAAATGGGCAGGAGAAAACTTTGAAGAAAGATGAAGGTTAAAGCAAGACAGAAAGAAGGAAAATCTAGTGGACATGAGAAGCAAAAGGAGCCCCCCACCAATATCCAGTTTTCAGGGTCAAGAGAGGCAAACATCCAGCTGTTTCTCTCTTCTTCACTGTAAACATGCAATTCCTAGGAATCTCATCAGAAAATACATTTACAGGGAAAGGACAGGTACTAAGCTCCTTGTGAAACATGGGAGGTCTTGCATGCATGCTCAAGGCAGACACCGAGAAAGAGTTGTGTGGGTTAAAGTTTATTAGAATATTTATTAATGCTGTGAACAAACACACAGGCAGGCAACAGCATGGCAGCCGCCTGGCGGGCTTTCAGACACCGGCAACAGAGACAGTCATCATGGTGGGCTCTTGGAAGAGAGGCAATCAGGGCCCATATGGCAGAAGTGGGAGTCTCCTTTTACACCTTTCCCAGGATGGGGGAGGTTTTACAGCACACAAGCCTGTAGCAAGGCTCTGTTTCTCAGGCGGGAGGCTGGGGATGGGGTGGGAGAAGGAAATGTGTTCACGGATGCCTGATTTGAAGTAAACCCACTTCCCCAGTGAGAAACCCTGGCATCTGGAAGACGGTAGCTGGATACTCCCAGTGTCTCGGTAGGGTGCTGTCAGAGTCTGTGAGAGAGGAGGGACCACTGCAGGTATGTTTTATAGTCTGAGCAGCAGCTGGATTCTAATATTACATTCTGACACAGTTCTAGTGGCTTCGGGTTTTACTTTGTCGGATTATAATTCTATCCAAGGCATCTCCAGAGCCACCTCACTTGCCTCATTTATCAAAGAGGGAGAGACAAAGGAGAAAGAGACTTCTCAGTGAGCTTTTGAGACGAAATGCGAAAGCCACTGAAATATCCTATATGGCTAATGCTACAACAATTAATCTCGGCTTTCTCTTGAAGTCCAAGCCCACTTGTATGTCTTACTTCTTGAGACATTCTGCTCTGGAGTGTGTTTTCCTGTATTCTCCTTGAGCACCCTTTTCTTCCTCATTCTCATGTGCTTAAGCTTACATGAATTTCTCTTTAATGAAATCTCCAACTCTGCTTCAATGTGGTTATGCCTGAAATTCTTTTCTGCGTCAAAGCCTCAAATGCCAATCTGGCCTGGGTTAAGGT